AAGAAAATCCAATGACCAAAACATACACTGACCCCGCTAGCTCAATGCTAACATATAATGCATAACGGAATTGACGCGCTAACTGAAATTAGCATTTAGATATCGGCAATGTTAAACAACAGTCAACATGCTTAAAATAAACGTAATACTTACAGGCATTCATTTGCTGTGCTCTGAGGAAATGACTAATATTATTGATGAATTAATATTACCTGTAAATGTATTTCATCCAGCTGAACAAGGATAATTTGCTCCTCTCAAACAGGGACAAACACCTCACTGACTTCTTCGTCGTTTTCCCTCGGTGTTTTTTACGTCGGCACTTCCTACAAAAGACAAATCGTAAATTCCTAGTCCTTTTTTCCTGATAAAGAACTTATCTTTGTAACATTTGTTGTAGCAAATACTTTGGATGGTGGCTTAAAGCCCCCCTCCGCTACGCGCCGTTCGTTAGATGAGGCTGGTTATATTTATTAAAAAAGGAATTAAAAACACCGGAATAAAGGTTATAACAATAATCTGATTTTACTTGTAAGAAACAAAACACGTATACAAGTTTACAGAGTACTCCGGACTTTCAATTTCCACTGCTGTGCGATACAGGTATCGGGACCAGCCAGTCAGAAAACAGGAAGCATTTTACATGCATAAACAACAGTATTCATATTCATATTTTGGGGCGGAGATGTGTTTACTTCTTCCTTCCCATTTTACTCCGAAGCGAATCAGAGAGTCCGTGGGGAGGAGCTGTGTGAGCTGCTCACTCCCCCATGTGTTTTTACTGGTTGGATTCACTTCTGGTCGGGTCCAACACAGCGAATCAGAGTTCTGGGAAAAAATATGTTTTCTTCTGAGCAGAGCGTGAGATTCGGAAGTACACAAAGACAGAGTCAATCTTATCTCTGCACCGATATTCACTCCTTTACTTTCCCAAGGAATATTACTATTCTTTCCCAGACAACCAAACATTGTACACAGATATATTGATGCCCAGAAAGAACCTTGAAAAGAATATGTGTGTGTGCTGGTGGAAGGAGGTGTATGTGTGTGTAACAGGATCTCTGGGTCAGTGAGTTGTAAGTGAGAAGACAATATCTATATATGGGATTACTTAAAACAGTTCAAACAATACATGTTCACTAAAATACAATTCAAAATAATACATGTTTACTTCAATACAGTTTAGAACCATATCTGTTTACTTTACATTACATATCAGTAAACAGAGGAAGTCATCGTTAAAACCCGTGCTAAAAATGTAAGACTTACCACTGCAGTCCGTCGACGTTTGAGTGTTTCTCCAGTTTCCTCCTCTTTTTGCAGAGTTTGCATTTCATTTTTCCTTGAAGCAATTCCATTTTCATTAAAAGTCTGTTTGGTGTGCAGTGTCATGATAACCTAAAACCATAGACTACTGCGGCGTTACTACTGCGTTACTGCGGCCCGTCCACAAACCCTAACACCCAGCATAGTTCAAGATGTGCTGCCGCTGCCGGGCCAGACCGGAAGTTGAAGCACAGCGAACTCCGCCGTGGAGCGCACTAGCGCACTAGCACCCTGATCCTCATTTCTTGTTCACACGATTCAAACCAATAGTTTTTGATGTTTTTTAATCAGGTATTTCATCTTCCTTGTTAAATTGACAAAGCACAGCTTCTGTATCTTCACTGATATACAATTAAATATTAAACCGTAATAAAGTGTTAATGCGCTGCAAATCGGGATCCGGCTGGAGCACTACGTAAGACACGCCCCTTCATAGCATTCACGTGCTACGATTGGCCATGAGCCTGTCACGTGCATCTCGGCTGAAAATGGACATGAGGAGAAGCAAACGAAAGAAGATGGGGTCCCGCAAGCGTTTGTTGTCAGAATGTAAGTATGAATTGAAATGTCTGTTTTATTTGAAAAATTAGTAACACTGCTTCGCGAAATCATCTCAATTGACACATGTATTACACTTTTTGTTCTGTGCTATCTGATTTGAGGTTGCTCGCTAAACCACGAGGACCCACCGTGACACAGTTGTTACATAATAATAATAATAATAATAATAATACATTACATTTCCACAAGCCCCTTCCTGGAGCTCAAAGCGCTTACATGACATTTAAATGTTCTGTAAAGTTCCTTATACAGCTTTAGACTTGTTTTTATCTCATAAAGTCCTTAAGTGACACACCCTGAACAGTCTGGTGGGTCATATGCCGGGCTAACACATGTGACAGAACTAGCTACATTTCAGAGGCTTGTTTTTGGTTGCTAAAGGTACAAATCAAGCCATTTAAGAATTAAAATGCTTACATAACATGTCCTTTGTTACATTTAACCTGTTAACATTTCTTGATCAAATTGATATGAAACAAATTAGATAAAAATTGCTGTGACACTGATGTCACATCGGGACATTGACCTTAAACTTTCACAGTAAATCTGGAGTAACACATATGTCACAATTAGAAATATGATTATGATCTGCTCAGTTAATTTAGCTGATCCAATTATATTTAGTTAATATATTCTTTATTCTTCAATTCAAAGAATGTTCAAACAAATTTAAATCAAAAATCATTAAGTTATAAATAAGAGTTACTTTACCATTAAAGTTCAATGTGACATTGTCAGAAATGTGGTCTATTTAGTCTAAATTATATTCCCCTTAATTTCCCCAAAAGTAGAAATGGGTCTGGGTTCTTATGGGTTAAATTAGTTAAATTGTTAAATAAGTAAATGACATTAGGGCGCTAGAAACGAGAGTATTTTATTTTAACACAGCATTGTTTTTTTTTAAAACAGGCTAACCTTTTAACGCTGATTTGGGTGACTTGTGTAATTCGTGGAGAACCGAAGAGTTTTCGTTTTGGGGGGTCCGACTCACAGACTGACGGACAACGGAACGCCGCTCCAGCACTTCAAATATTGCAGTACCCATAAGGATGCCTTATACATGCCGCAGTTTTTGCGTGGCTGTGTCTTTAGTTGTAAGCCCATTGGCGATCTGTTGTTATTAGCATCTGGTTAGCTAGCTAGCTATAAAGAGCTTTTTCTACAACCAGGTGGAAGAGAGCTCTCTCCTGACAGACTGAGAGGCTCAAATAACCTCAGCTCAGTGAGGTTAAGGCACACCTTGATATGATCATTATAGTTGTATAAAAAAAAGAGACTAAATGAAAAACAGGTATACTTTGACAGTAACAAAAAAATGTTTTTAAATAACAAGAATACAGTTTAAAAGGGGAGTGATTTGTAAAATATCCATAAAGAAAAAGAGAAATCTGCTTACAGGTCTGTTTCATATGGGTGTTGGGAGATGTGTCCATAGATCTCTTCATTTTGCTCTCAAAGTGCACCAGATTGATGCATTTAACTTCAACATTTAAAAACAAATTTGCACACATCTTGTGTCCATATCTTTCTGTTTTGGTGGTCATGCCACAACCGTGTATGCATGCATGCGCGAGTCATGGTAAAATATCTGGATTAAGAGGTTGCTTTTTCTTTGCACAGCATGAAAGAAAGGCGAAAATGAATGGGCTGTGATTTTAGTATTTTTAAGCAGAAATTGAGTTCAATAATTTGTACGGCCCTTGGAGAAAGTTGTAAAAATTGAAATGGCCCTTGAGAGAAAAAAGTTCCCCACCCCTGATCTAAATAATAATAAAAACCCTTGATTTGTAACTTAACATCTCTGTCTCCTATTGATCAGAGTATATTCTAAAGAATAGCCAGTTAATTGAAGCATTATAGCGCAGGCCTTGTCAGATGGTATATTACGCTGTTTTTTTCGAATAGTTCTCTCTTTTTTCACCATACGTGTGTTTGCATCCCTGAATATAAGTAGGCCTATAATGTTAAACAGAACATGCTGTGATGTCGCTCTGTTCAGAGTGACACCAGTGTTTCCAAACAACTCCATCTCTGTTGGTCTCTGCACGCTTACATTAACCTGCAGTGTCAGATTTTTTTTTAAAAACAGGGAAAGCAGCTTCTCCAAACTGTTCCATTTAAAGGCTGCTGAGACATGAGGATGCCAGGCTAAAACTTGGCAATATTGATGCGTTATAAATTAGAAACGGAGCAATCTCGATATAGCGTTAAATCCACAGTGTGGATCGTCTTATCAGTTATCTCTATTAAACATGATTGGATAAAAGTAGAGCTGATTGCCCAAACCTAACTTCTGTATATAAAGGTACACACCCCAAACACAATAACTAACATTTAAACATTACTTTGAGCAAAGCTACATGACTAGTAATACCTTTACACTACACCAATTCATTACACAATTTTGCATGTAAGGATTACACTACCACTATATAACACTAGTACAAGAATATTATCAATACTAATAAACCCATATCCAAACTGATTTCTGCACTACAGACATCATTAGGATAGGTAACAACAAAGTACTGTTGTTAAATAGTTAAATATTTGTCTTTTTTTCTGTTTCAGTCCTGACCCCAGAAGACGCCATAACCCGCTACAAGCGTGTTCTTGAGGCGGTAAACAAGGGCAACAATAAAACGGCGACTTACAGAGCGGTAGGAGTGGACCGCAAAACCATTGCCGACACTGCAGGAATTGCAGAACTCCATGCTGTGAACCCGGGCATCTTCCAAGATATCCGGGGAACACTGAAGAAGGGGGAAACCCTTCTTCGTTTCTCGGAGATGTGCAAGTCTGCCATAAAGGACCAACATTTAGAGGGGAATGTCCAGGACTTAAAGACGAATGGAGGACTATTATCCATTAATCCAAAGGGGAAGTGAGGAAGGAATGGATGTTTTTTTGCTTTGCACTTGTTTTTAGTTTTTTTTTATAAAAAGTCGTTTTTATTTTTATTTTTATTTTTTTTATGTTCATCCTTGTTTGAATAAAAATGTAAAACTTCAGTGGCTGGAGATCCGTCATTGTCATCAACAGTGTTTGTTTGTTTGTTTGTTTGTTAAACTGCTTAACTAATGGTAAGATAATAGTGAGGTAATCATTAGTTAATGGGTAACTACTGTTTTAGTAACGGTAAGGTAAGCATTCATGTGTTGGTGGCTCCGTGTTTCGATAAGAAGCTGGAGGCCGTGAGAGAGGAGTTCTACAACGGCCTGCTGGAGAGCCGCGACGTGGGCTGTGTCCTCACCTCAGGTACACTCACCTCCATCTCAATAACAACTGTGAATGCTGTCAGCTGCGTAAATGTGTTGCTGAACTCGGCTGAAAATGCAGAAAAAGCTGAATATTTGAATAGTTTAATGGTGTCTTTAGCTGAAAGTAGGCTGAAGGAGTTGGATATCAAATGTACGTAGTAGTATAATGTAAGTACAAGTTGTAGTAGTAGTAGTAGTAGTAGTGGTAGTATTAGTTGTAGTTGTAGTAATAGTACCGGTAGTAGTAGTAATAGTAGTTGTAGTTGTAGTAGTAGTTGTAGTAGTTGTAGTAGTTGTTGTAGTAGTAGTTGTAGTTGTAGTTGTAGTTGTTGTAGTAGTAGTAGTAGTTGTAGTTGTAGTTGTTGTTGTAGTAGTAGTAGTAGTAGTTGTTGTAGTAGTTGTAGTTGTAGTAGTAGTTGTAGTTGTTGTAGTAGTAGTAGTAGTTGTAGTTGTAGTAGTAGTAGTTGTAGTAATAGTACCGGTAGTAGTAGTAATAGTAGTTGTAGTTGTAGTAGTACCGGTTGTAGTAGTTGTAGTAGTTGTAGTAGTAGTAGTAGTACCGGTTGTAGTTGTAGTAGTTGCGGTAGTAGTAGTAGTAGTTGTAGTAGTAGTAGTGTGTATGTATTGATTTTAATATTTGGTGTTCCAGGGGAGATCTATCACCTGATGGAGCAGAGGAAGGTGTCAGTGGAGGAGCTGGACTCAGTTCCACTGGACCACGTGTGAGTACTTACACTGGTTATCATGAATTTACAAGAAGAGAAATCTCAATATTCTGTGCTGTTTTTGCACTTTAAATCTCGTAGAATATTACATTTTTCAGAGTATTTCACCACGTCTGTTTTTAGGAGTGTGCAGTATATATATATACATGTATTTAGTATATATAAAATACTGTGTTTGCAGGCTGGGTGAGGCTGGAGACGCGGCGCTGCTGAGGCACGAGGGCAGAGGATCTGAAGGATTTCTGGAGCACGTTTTCAAACACGCTGCGAAAGAACAGTTCGGTCTGGAGGTTCAGAAGATCACGTACAAGTCTCTGAGGTGAGGCACACTAGAGAGATGTAGATCCTTAGATAGGGAGGAAGAGCACCAAGAAATAGCCGTTATATATCAGGATGTGCCAGTGTTTCAGTCTATAGTCAGGGAAGGCCATCCAACACGAGCGTATAGGTTGCAGTAGGGCGTCACTTACACAGCAGTCTGAGACTCTTCTCTTCCTCGTTGGTCTTCCAGGAACAGGGACTTCCAGGAGGTGACTCTGGAGCGCGACGGGGAAACTTTGCTACAGTTTGCGGCGGTTTACGGCTTCAGGAACATCCAGACTCTGGTTCACCGCATGAGGAAGGGCCGCGTTCCATACCAGCTGGTGGAGGTGCTGTCCTGCCCCGGAGGTAACCACACAACCACATACAGGACTTTAGAATTAAAGTGTTATCCCGTCAGATCGAGCCTCAAAAACTACCTTTAAGGGTCTAGAAAATACTGGTGTCCTTCAGATTAAAGCACATATACAGCACTTAATGTTTTTTAAGTAAAAAGCTAATGTTAGGCTATAAAGGAACTACAGCACGGTCACATGACTTCACGTCACCACTGCTAAGCTAAAGGTGGCTAATGTTGGGCTATAAAGGAACTACAGCACGGTCACATGACTTCACGGCACCACCGCTAAGCTAAAGGTGGCTTGGGCTATAAAGGAACTACAGCACGGTCACATGACTTCACGTCACCACCGCTAAGCTAAAGGTGGCTAATGTTGGGCTATAAAGGAACTACAGCACGGTCACATGACTTCACGTCACCACCGCTAAGCTAAAGGTGGCTAATGTTGGGCTATAAAGGAACTACAGCACGGTCACATGACTTCACGTCACCACCGCTAAGCTAAAGGCGGCTAATGAGGAGGTTCAGTCGTCTTATTTAGACACTTGTTAGAAACTTTCTTCTGAAAAATGTCAAACTGTGTTTTTAAAGCATCTTTGTATGTACATTTAAACACACACCCTTCTTTTGCTGCAGGGTGTCTGAGCGGCCGGGGTCAGGCTGAGAGTGATGGGGGGGGCCGTGTGGATAAAGCTCTGGTGCAGCAGATGGAGGACGCCTACAGCAGCCTGCCGGTCCGCCTGCCCGAGCTGAACCCCGTCCTGCAGACTCTGTACCGGGACTGCCTGCAGGGCCACGACTCGACACACACACACACACTGCTGCACACACACTACAGCAGCCAGACACACACACAACCCCCACACATGCAGTGGTGAGGAAGAGGAGGAGGAAGATGGACCATGTTATCATGAAGAACAAAGTGTCGGAGCAGGAAGCAGTTCCTCCGTTAGGACACTAGGGGGAGACGTCTGTGTTTAAAAAAACATGGAGGATTAAACTGTGCCAAAACCTGAGGAGGAACGAGGGTCCGGAGAACCAGAAAATACTAGAGAAGATCAATGAGGTGCAGGAGGGAAGAGGAGGTGCATTTACAGAGCAATAAACAGCTGAGGGGGAAATCAAGGCGTTTAGGGTCGGGCAATATGGAGTACAGCTGAACAATTAGTTGGCATTTAATGGAAAATGCAATTTGGACTAGTTTTATATCCACATTTCAGGATGCACAATATTTGTTAAAGGGTAAATATGTGTAGAAATGTAATTGAAGTATTGTGGGGCTGCACCATGATACATTTAATATATTTTCCAACCTCAAAAATGACCCCTCCGCAATTGCAGCATCAGTCAAATCGTGCAGCTTTAACATTTATTATATCAAATATCACTATTCTTTTTTGACCAAATAGCTCGATGCCCGAATATAAAAATATTTACACAATTAGATTAAAGCTAAAACATCAATCATGTGGATAAAATGACTTTGAAGACAATAAACAAATGACTGTAAAGCAGCCTGTAAACAAGACACATGTTATTTTAAATGACAGAATATGGATCTATATTGCCCGGCCCACAAATGATGGATGCTGAATGTTCATTTTTGAGTATTTCACATCCAAGTATTCCGATGTAAATCATGTTGTTGTTCCTCGCTGAAAGATAATAACTATGCAACAGAGTGATGCTCATCTCACCGTCTCTCAAACATCCGTCCAGACAGAATAAGAGCCTTTATTATTGCTGTGAAATGGACTCCATTCTCACTGTGTTTTCATTCCACAAACGAGTGTTTTTTAAGTTATTTGTTTCTGTGTTTTTGTCCTTTTTTGTTTTACAGAGATCAAACGTGTAAAGCACTAAAGTGTTCTGACAAACCAAGAGTCTGTGGATCCTTATTGTTTACATGTGTGCTGCTGTAAAGTCCCTAACGTCTTGAAATCCAGCTCTGTAGGTCCTCCAGTATTTTCTTCTTTAATGCTGTGAATGCCACAAAAGAAATTCCAATGATTGTGTTTTTAATATATCTGAAAACTATCTACAAGGCTCAAAACGGTAAGAAATCAGTGAGTACAATTTTATTTTTCTGTCTTAACCTGTTAAGCCCCAACGACCCCGTCGGCGGGTCTTTTTTTTTTTTTTCACGACACTTCTTAATATTTTAAATATATATTTTCAAAAACTATGAATGTGTTATACCATTCTAACGGGAAAAAACTCAGCTAACTGATGATACGAGCCATTTTTACCAAAACAAAACACAAGTCTCACAAGAAGCGTTAGCATTAGCCCCTAGAGAAAACGGGCTAATGCTACTTCAGGAGCTAACTAGCAAAAACGATTTTTAATAATAATATGTTCTGCACAAACTACATATCATCTGAAAGCTGATACTCCACTGATTATTTTGATATAAGTATCATCACTGGATGACAAGAACTCACTGAGCTAGCAGCCAGAACATAGCAAATAAACAACATCAGTTTTCAAATCCATGACAATAATTAGGTCTTACCTTGTGATTTTTGTGATCAAAAGTTGTGTTCAACGGAATAAAAATGCTGCTCAAGGTTAATCCAATGTCTCTTAGTCACGTTAGAATTGTTTCTGATCAATCAATCCTTTCATTCATGGCAGAAAAGTAGGTACAAAGATTAGGGTCCGTAGCTTCAGCTGCTTGACATGCAGTTTACGCATAGCTCCCCCTCCCCCGCCGTAAAGTATTTACGTATTTTCCAACTGCCACTCGATTCCATTGGCTCTAACGATTCAAAAAAGGTGTAAATCACGCAAATCGACCAATGGGTTCCAGAGATAGGGTCCTGCGTAAGTGTACATCAGGCCAGTATGCTGCTTACCCCACACTCTTGCTACGTTTTTGAGAGGAGCGCAGATCACCGGCAGATCACCGGGACAGCGAGACAGCGGGATTATCAGCAAAAACAGCCGGATTTGTTTTATTTCTTCATTTGAACAATGGCAGCCAGAAAGAAGACTTTATTGTCCATCCAGGAGGCATTGGAAATGGTATTTGAGGACTCTCCGTCGGAAAATAGTGATCTTATCACGCATCGAGTGACTCCGATTATGAAGTTCCACCAACGGAAAGGTATGTAATCTCTCTGTTTGTATCTATTACTTATTTATTTGGTGTAAGAGTATTCATCTGTTTTTATCTTTTAGTTATTTATTTGGTGTTAGAGTATTCGTCTATAGTAATTTCACACGCATAACAATAACACAACGGCATCCATCTTGTGATCTAATGTTATTTCACACATACTCAACAACAAACAAATAAAATGGATGCCGTTTATTGTGCAAAGACTAGAAATAAACAAGACAGTAGAAAATATACATGTTGAGTTTAATGTTTTCTTTTTTTTACCATTTTATGGACATTTCCGTGAAGGAGCTGCACAAGAGGAGGGGTGACCCCGGCAGGACGAACCCACACACCCAGAAGTCCTTCAGGGAGCAGCTTGCAAAATAAATGGTTGAGTTTTCTGGAGACCCTGCAGCAGCATCACCCCGCCCACCAACCCCCACACCATCACTGACATGCATGCCCGAGCATTATGGGGAAGATGCCACCACGGTCAGGAGGTACTGCAGGAAGTGCTCTGATGCTGGCAGCAGAAGGGTGAAGACACCTGTGTACTTCAGGAAGTGTCAGGTCCCTCTGTGCTTCACTCCCAAAAAGAACTGTTTCAGGGCATGGCATGACTTACTGCAATAATACCATAACATTCAGGGTTGGTTTGTATAAAGTTTTGAGAGTTTTTATCACCCAATTTTTTTTTTACCTAAAGTGTGGTGTTATTGTGTTAGTGCTAACATTCTTTTATATAAATCTGCTCCAGTTGGAGTCAAATGTTTCCTATGTTTCCTCATTTTTATTGTGCAAGTAAACATGCATCTCATGCAAAGAGGGAACTTCCCACACACCCACACACACACACACACCCCACACACACACTTAAATATATATATATATATTTTTTTATTTACAATCATTTTACAATCTTTTTTATTTTTATTTTATTTTTTTTTATTTTTTTTATGGAATGAATACCTATAGTGATGATTCAATGTTATAAAATGATTTTTACTGTCTGGTACCTGAAAAATGTCAAATGGCACTGATGGAACCAGACGTGCCCAAATGTGCCCAAAGCTTAGTCCGCCTGGACTGTTTTTCCCTAAACCTCTCTAAAAAGGTCAATTTTCACTTGTTTTGCCTCAATCTTGATACAGTGTACTTATTATTAGTTATACTTTGAATTCCCAAAGCTTTCAGGCTACTAACCCATCATTCAAGGGTGGTTTTCACTATAAGTAATGGGTTTTTTTTAGGCGGAGGTAAGAATTTACACTTTTTTACTATGTTCCATCTGAATTTTCTCTGACAAAGAAACATCTATATTGATTCTGACACTTCTACATCCAACTCACAGATGTAACATTGCTTTGAGAAAAAAGATTATTAATTTAACCCTTTTAGAAGTGAAGTTAAAGTCATTTGTTCTGGGCATGTCATTTTCGAGCCTGAAACCTGAAAAACAGGCTTGGGGCTTAACAGGTTAAATAAACCTTCGATGGTGCTTCAAGGGTTAAGTATGTAAAGTGCTGAATCCATCAATCAATTCATTCATGAAAAATATAAAATACAATTGTTAAAAACTACCAGCTTTTGGGGATTTTCTGAAAATATGGTTATTTGTGGGGGTGTTTAGTATTGAGCCAGTGACAGGAAGCTATTAGCTTACAGTAAAAGTCCTAAATTAAAGCACTTTATTGTCATTATTCAAGCAAAACAGGCTCAAAGGTTGCATTGTCAGAAAAGTTCACAGAAAAGGCAAACACGTGGTGCTTCCCTGCAAGTAGGCATGCGAGTCCATTAGCTTAGCATGATCAGTACTGTACTTTGTTGTCCTTATGCATGACAATATTGCCGTTTTTTAAATATCAAATGGTGCAATGTTTTACCGTTTCACACCTCAAAGCGTCTCAGAAGAACGGTGAATACGCCTGCAAAGATATGAGATATAAGGTGTGGAGAAATACAGATTAAAAGCTAATCATCAGCAGCAAAAGTCTGCAGAAAAAAAGAGATGTCAACACCTGCTGATCAACGGTGTTGTATCATGTTCGATTACACAAGTGGAAGGTATTTGTTTACATAGAAACACCTTGAAGCTGGCAGCTAGCCAACACACACAGTTGTTGGTTAGCTGGCAGCTAGCCAACAACTGTGGGTGTTTCTCAATGTCGAGTAAAGCTGCTCCAGAGCCACTATTTCAAGCATACTACGTCATCGAGTGCCGCCGAAGTACTGTTCCAATCTCCAGCATACTTGGAAATCTACCAAGCCCGGCGTACTCCGTTTGGAGAAATATCGAGTCTGCACATGAGTAGACTTCGCGGTCTTAAAATCCCCACAATGCTTTGCGCACGGACCAATTTCCCCAAATCTGTGGTGGAAGATGTAAGGCGGGGCCTCTCATATGACGCACACCTGCACACTTGCTAGCATGTTCCACACTTCGTTTTCCGAATGCCAGGAAGTATTCTTGACTCGCTTCTGAAGCAAGATGCTCGGCAGACATGTGCTACCAAGCAAGCGTACTCGCGATTGAGAAACACCCTGTGTGTGTTGGCAAGCTGGCAGCTGACCCAGCTGACCCAGACAGAAAATCATCAGCATTTTACATTTTAGTACCAGAGTTTAGGAGTACTCTGTTAAAGTATAAGTACTCAGATCTAGTACTTGAGTACAAGTAGAAGTACTCAGATATTGTACTTGAGTACAAGTAGAAGTACTCAGATCTAGTACTTGAGTAAAAGTAGAAGTACTCAGACCTTGTACTTGAGTAAA